GCACCCAAGTAATCCCTGCCAGTTCCCATGTGACAGAAATGGCACCTCTGTAACCATGAGCTGAATTCCACTGCAGCACCACCACACCTTTATTTTTTTTAGATGAAAATCACAGTCCATTTGCTCTCCTGCCCAGCATCATAGCTGGCACTTTGGTGCCTGATCCCCTTCCCCTGGGGATGAGCAGGAATAGCCCAGCGGATGGCACCCAAGCAGCTCAGTAGGCAGCCAGCATGAAGCCCCAGGAGCTCATCTGTCTGATGAAATCATCTCACAGTGTGAAGATCCTTGCAGCTGAAATTGAAAAGTTCTTTATTTCTCCTCTAAAGGGAAAACCAGCTCACTGTGGAGGCTGTTTGTCCTTTGGGGTAGGAACCTCACTCTTTCCAGCTTTCGTGTCTCTGTGCGCTGCTTGGGAGCACCGAGATGCTCTCTCTGGCAGGCAGGATGGATGGAGCAATGCTGATGCTCTCCTCCCACAGCCTCCCTCTGCCAGGGCAGGTACACCGAGGGGCAGTGGACAGGCAGCAGCTTGAGCTGGTCGTCTCCACATGACGTGTTTTCCTGAGGTTCACTACAGTGCTGTTAAAAGCTCTTCCTCTGCTGCAGCCAGTTAGCATGCAGAGCCTGCTTCTGCGTCCTAATGTCCTCAGGCACTGAGCCTCCTTGAGAGGAGGCGCAGTTTGAGATGTCCTGCACCCTCCCAGACAGCCAGGGACATCAATCTTCATTACCAAAAGGGATTGTGAAGCTTGTAGTTGTCCCTTGGGTGCTCCGATGGGACTTTCCTCTGCTGGAGTCACCATGCCTCCTGCAAGGGTGCTGCTGGGCTCTGCGAGGCTCTGCAGCTCACCAAGGGGTTTTTCCATGGGAATGCTCATCCTGCTCATTCCAGCTGGGACGTGAGACCAATTTAAAATCACCCAGGGAATACTTTTAACACTCTTCTCATTCCGTACTGCCGCTTCACTTATTCACTTATTAAGGGTGGACTATTTCCAAACATTGCCTTCATGGGAAAAAAGCAGCCACTGAGTTGGGCCGGTGGTTGGTGATTTGCCACATCCCACACAGAGAGGGCATCTGGAAGGTTTCTGTGAGTGTTAAACCAACTCCTCTCCTAAAGAAAGTATCTCAGAGCAGGTGGGAGCTGAAGAAGCTGCCCAGAGCCAGTCTTCGCTCCATGCCAGCAGAACTGCTCTTCCAATACTCAGAGACTCATTTGGAAACTTGTCTTAGCAAAAATATGACTCAGATGAAGCTGATACTGCACAGGCTGGTTTTGCATGTTCTGGGAATCTGGAAAATACTGCAGGAATCCTTTACGGGTGGTGCGCATAGTTTTTGTATCCCACTGGGATGTTACCTGCTTGCTCGGACCCACACTAAGCAGGCCTGCTCTCTTTGGGATGGGTAGGGTAGGGGTCCAGCTTCAGGACTAGGCCTCCTATGTGCCAGAATAATAAAAAGCAGCATTTGAGAGCAGCAATGCATCTGTTCAGAAATGTGGATTCTGTTGCATCACCATCAAGCTTCAAACCTCAAAGGAACCACTTATCCCATTGCCAGGGCCACCGGCGTGCCAGTAGGACTGACTTTCCACTAGAGGGTTGTAGTGCTGCACGGAAACAAATGCGGTTACTGTGGCAGGAATATTGCATGTACTCCAGGCCTTTGTCAGCAGATCAAAAGCATCCTGCGACAGCCCAGCTTCCAGCAGCCTCTGCAGTCTCTGATGTACACAGCCTGCACTCTGTGAGAGGGCTGGTGCCTGAGCAGCCTGCTTCCCTGCCTTCCCTGGAAAGCCTCTAGCATTCTCATGACTCAGCACCTACTGTACATATAGATATATATACACACACACACAGATATAGCAAGTAAACACACTGTATCTATGCGATACACACACAGACAATATGTGTGTGCATGTACCTGGGGTTTTATGCATGAGCAAAGCCCACAGCCTGGCAACAGAGTGAACAGGACTATTAGCAGTATTGGTGCAATCAGCAGGATGGGAAAGCAATAGCTGTTCACATACAGCCCCCATGCCAGGCCAGGCGCTGCTGTGCTGTGCACTGCACCAAACACGGGTGCTGGCCCCGGAGCTTGCAAACCAGCCTTGAACAGGACATGTCAGAGAGGACTGACACTTCTTCCACCAGCTATGTCCTCACATCCATCGCAGCTCAGTAGGTCCAAGTAGGTTTATGTATATGTGACCCCACTATTCACCTGCACATCTTTCACAGTAGCTGTGTATTTTTGCATATGGATTTATAAAGTCATAGAATCATAGTATGGTTTGGGTTCGAAAGGACCTTTAAAGGTCATCTAGTTCCAACCCCCCTGCAAGGAGCCTACGTTTGCAGCTTTCTGAGTAGCTGGTGTGCAAAGTTATGGTAACTACTGACAAGATCAGGGTTGGTTTACTGCCAAAACTGAAAAGTGGAGGTGTTTAACACAGCAGGGAAAGCCCTCAAACCACTGACACTGCCTGGCTTTTGAAGGAAGGGTGGAAAGGTAAACGCAACCACAGGGCGTGCCTGTAACATGATGTCCTGGTTTTGGCTGGGATAGAGTTGATTTTCTTCCTAGTATCTGGTGCAGTGCTGTGTTTTGGCTTCAGTCTGAGAACAGCGCTGATAACACACCAATGTTTTAGCTGTTGCTCAGTAGCACTTAATCCTGATCAAGGACTTTTCAGCCTCATGCTCTGCCAGTGAGGAGGAGCACAAGAAGCTGGGAGGAAGCAGGGGACACCTGACCCAAACTGTCCAAAGAGATAGTCCATACCACAGCATTTCATGCCCAGTATAGAAACTGGGTGGAATTACCCCGAGGGGCAGATTATTGCTCGGGGCAGATTATTTCTCAGGTCAGGCTGGGTATTGGTCAGCAAGTGGTGAGCGCTTGTATTGCGCATCACATGTGGTTTCTTCTGTTCAATAATAATAATAATAATAATAATAATAATAATAAAAAACCATACCTATACTATAATATATAATAGAAGTAAATATTATTCTATCATTATAATATTTTATTTTTATTATCAAACTGTTCTTATCTCAGCCCACAGGTTTTTACATTGTTCCAATTCTCCCTCCCATCCCACTGGGGAGTAGAGGTGAGTGAGTTGGTAGCTGAGTGGTACTTAGTTGCAGGCTGGGCTTAAACCAGCACAGTGGGACAATCACAGAGAATTTACATAGTGTACCACCCGTTTGTCTGATACTATTACCTTTTCCATATATAGCTAGATGGAAAATGGGTTTTGCCTACATTTTCATCTCTTTTGTTATTAGAAAGGCTTTGAGGAAGTAAGTAGGAGGTACTCTTGTGTCTTGGGTTTAGCAGTAGCAGTCAATTTTTTCTCCTTCTTAGTAGCTGGTGCAGCACTGTGTTTTGACTTTCGGCCTGGGAACAGTGCTGATAATACCGTTGTTTTTAGTTGTTGCTAAGTCATGTTTACTCTGACCAAGGACTTTGTGAGTCTCATGCTCTGCCAGGGAGGAGGGGAAGCCAGGAGGAAGCAGAGACAGGACACCTGACCCAAGCCAGCCAAGAGGTATTCCATACCACAGCACGTCATGCCCAGGGAGGTAATTGGGAGTTACCCAGAAGGGCATGGGCTCTCTTTCTGGGGTCGAACTCATTTTGGCGGGTGGTATCGTATTCTCTTTCCTTTATTTTATTTTCTCTTATCATTATTATTATTGGTGGTAGCAGCAGTGGTTTGTGTTATATCTTAGTTACTGGACTGTTCTCAACCCATGGGAGTCACATTCTTTCGATTCTCCTCCCCATCAGAGAGAAGTCAAGTGAGCTACTTCTTGCTATAGAGGACAAAAAGTCACCAGGGAGACTCATCCAGCTGGGGAGACCTACAAGGTGGGCACAAAGGGTTGGGACAGTCAAATCCACAACTGATGGTCTCCATAACCAAGTCTCAGACCTCAGGAAGACCAGGCTGGCTGGACACCAGGGACTGTGGAGCTGTGAATGAACCATCTCCTCCTCTGAACCAGCTAACAGTGGTGTCGGTGTGACATTGCTGATACCAGCAATGGGGAAGAGCTCTGTAACTCCAGGATGCAGGGGCTACCCCTCTCCTCCTGAGGTGCTGCCCTCCCACAGTGGGGTGACCCCATGGGGCAGAAGGGTCGTGGGCCACCACCAAGGATGGAAGGCTGCTGATGAGCTGTGGAGAGAAAGGATGTCAGAGAAACATGATGTGAAGCAGGGTTTGGAGTGTGTTACAGTCATTTGAGAAGGAGGGGAAGGAAGGAACCTAGGCACTGTACCTGGGAATAAGGTGTCTCAGCAGCTAAAAGGTTAGGAGTGCATTTTTTAAATTAGCTGTTTTAACCAGTGAGAACATTTATTAACCAATCATCATGCAATAAATATGTTTATTATTAATATTTCACATCTAAAATCCCTGTAGAAGATTGAAAAAGCCCTTGTATGTTATTTTGGCAGTGTGAATGGTGCAGAGGAGAGCGGCTGCGCTCAAGTGCCTCTGCCCCATCAGGCAGCAACAAAAGGCACCAGGCTTGCAGTGGCACAAAGGCAGGCAGCTTTCTGTGCCAACAGCTCTGCAAACCCTCTTCTAGCAGAGCGAGGAGTCTCTGTCTCTGTCCCTCCCAAAGGAGTCATAAAATACAGCTTTATCCACCCTGCATGCAGCAATCAGACAGGCTTAAAAGCTTAAGCACTCATAGGGTAGCAATGCTTAGAAAGATTGCACCAGCCTGTTTGCCTGCCTCAGTCCTCTTCTGTAATCCAGTCGCTCCTCGGTATGGACTTGTAGGGACACATTGTTAGAGACAGAGGCAGAACACTGAACTTGCTCATAGAGAGGGAGCTGTTAAACTTGTGTCTATGCAGGGCTGCAATGAGCCTGGTGCTGCTGCTCTCACTCCGCTTGCCAGCCAGCTGCTGGGTTGTGGAGCACACAGATCATGCACCAGGCATAGAAGATGGGAGCAAACAGATTTCTTCCTTTTATACTGTTTTATTAAACAAAGCCAAGCAAATCGAATCCAACCCCTCTGTTGATACACCAGCTTCTCATTTACTCAAGACCCCTTTCCACATCTCTGGAAGAACAAAAAGGCTGAAGAGTAGATGGGATCAGTGTCAAGAGCATTACACACATGAATATTTATCAAGGAAGACCAGACAGAGGCCAATTTGCTGCCCTGCAGCAGCAGAATCTTGGTCACCAAGTGGGAGGTGAAGGGTAGGTGAAGAGGCTGGTCCATGCCTTTACTGGGCCAAGGTGTGGGGGATGCTGGCAGAAGGCTCTGATTGTGCATGAGGATAACTGCAGAAGCCATTGGTCAGGAACAACACTGAGGGGCTCCTGGGTCTTGAAGCAAAAGCTAAGTACAACACAATTACAAAGCAAGCATACAATGTCCCTTCCAGTCATGCAATCAGCTCAAAAACTGCAGTTTAGAGAAAAAAAATCCAAAGAATTAACTGGAAGATGTTACCATTCTGTGGGCATGCTGAGTGCTCACGATAAATCTTTTCCTGAAGGAAAAAGCAAGGTTAAATCAAGCTACAAAGCCCATCAAGCATGAGATTTACAGCAATCTAAAAGGGTTATGGGTTCATTTCTTAAACAGTTGAATTATGGCTGCTTCTGGGTATCAATACATTAAGCATGCTGACCCCCTCAGTGCTATGGGGAGCTAGGGTATGAGCAACAATGGAGAGATCGCGCTGGTTATGGTTTTTATGTGCACTTCAAAGTCACTTCCGAAAAAGAAGATGAGATAGTAGTTGAGTATTCCAGCCACGGACATGAGGAACAGGAACAAAATGATGCGCTTTCCAAACAGGTGACCGGGAGTGCTGAGGAGACAGAAAGGGAAAAAGCCATTTGACTTTAATGCATGTCACCTCACACAAGAAGTCCTCAGACTTTGGACTCTGTTGTTGAGACCTGCTGAAAGACCTTGTGGCTGAGATAGATTGGGCAAATTTCCTCTCTCTCTGTTATTTCAAGGTAGTTGCAAGGCCTTCAATGCCATTTTCTGCATCCATTTGGGTCTGGATCTGGCCTCCTGTGCTCAGCATAGGCTACTGCTTACAAAAGGGACCATTCAGAGGGACTTGTATGTCTTCTCTGCCAACACAGCCTGTGGGACAATCTTATTTCTGCATGTGTGTAATGAGCTTTTGTGATATGAAAGGATGATTTTGTGCAAGTAGCGGCACAAACACAAACACATGTGTTCACAGAGGTGTGAGCAGGAGCCGCTGAAGCAGTCGCTCTGTTCCTGCAGCTCCCCTGACCCCAGAGCCACAGCACCTCCCATGTCTCCCACAGCTCCTTCCAGAAGATGTGGGCTTTTCTTTGCCATCCCATGCAAGCAGCCATTGCAGGCAGCACCATGAGCCAGCAGCTGTGCCTGTGGAAGTGGCAGCATCCAGCTGCACTGCTGCTACGTCCCCAATTTCATGAAGAGGCTCTGCAAGTCCTTACCTCTGAGTCCTCTCCCCCAGGTAGCCCACAAAGTACTTCTGCCTCACAAACAGGTACATCAGGCCGGCAAAGGCGGCAGGAGCTGGGTAAAGGGTAAGACAAGATGTTACAAACACCAGCCCAGGTCTCACTGTACGTACTGTTCCCAACTGCTGCCTGCGCTGGACCAGGAAGCTGGAACCTGCAGCCCTGGGTTATGGGATGAGTGTTGGAACCAGGATGGAGACCTGTGCATGGGAAACAGAGCACTTGCCTGCCCCTTGCTCCAGCTTTTCTACAGACTGTGTGGGTACAATCCTGCCCACAGCTATGCCCACTGCACAGCACACACTCATCCCCATTGGAAACACAGTGTGGCCATGTCAGGTTCAGGAAGGAGGGTGTTGGCTCAGGCACTGTCTTTACCAGAAGTAAAAGGCAGCTGATACATGCACTTCTCTAGGAGCAGGTGGAGGACTATGCTGTGGTCCAGTATTCATTTGTTGTTCACATAAATAAGGGCTTTCTCCTCAGTTATAATTTTCCCCACACTTGCAGGCAAAACACTCTTCTTCTGGTCAGGAACTCCCCTTTTCCAAAAATAATAGCCACGGACCACAGAAAAGTACTCATCTTAACCTCAGGCAAACTCAAATTGCACTGAAGGGGATCATAGAAATGCAGGTAAATATTCCTGGGCTGCCCTCAGCACTGGGAAGGGCTGCAGCTCTGGCAATGTAATCAAACGAGCCCGTTTCTAGTCCTGAGGGTGAATAATGTGGCATCCAGCATCCAAGTACTAAACTGTTCACCCAGAACAGAGGGATCTTATCTGTGATACCTATATGGGAAATGCCCCTGGCCCAAACTGTCCTGAATCACATCTGGGGGCATGTCTGTTGGCATAAACTGTGCCAGAAGGGTGCAGGACGGGAATCACCTCCAAAGCACTCACCATCCCTTGCTGAAAGCCAGGCAAGGTAGAAGGGAAAAACAATGAGTGTTACCTGGGCTGCAGAGAAGTCCAGCACACCAGAGCACAGCGAGGAACGTGGGGTAGGCGTGTCCGCAGTTCTGGCTGGGGAGGGATTTACACAAGAGAAATCAGAACACGGGGAAACAGAAACAAACCCAATGTGTTTCACCAGCAAACTGGATTTGGGCTGCAGTAACTACTGCGGGTGGGCTTTTACCGCCTTCTGTGCCTGAACCCAGCTCTGCCTCACCCGCACCTCTGCTTCCCTGTTCCCTTACTTGGATAATGGATGCCTTTGTCCCGCCTGGTGAGGAAAACAAACCACCCCGCGCACATGCCTGGCACCTGGGAAAGCTTTCCTCCTCTAACCTGTTTGATCAAGGCACGTGTATAATAGATGCTGTGTGCTTTACTGGCCTGGAAAATCCTTGTAATTAAGTCACATTAATCATGTTACTGGCATTGAAAGCTGCATGAAACCAACAAAAGGAAAATCACACTGCAAATAGGAGTGTCTCCTAGAGTTAACACGTGTCTTTGCAGGAGAACAGGAATGATTTACAGCTGCCTCCTTTGGCTGGGAGTGCTTTCTGAGAGGGTAGCGCTTTGCCCTGGGCAGAGGCTGGACACCTGTGAAGGGCAGGACTTGGACATCCCATTCAGTTTCAAACACATCGTCAGTACTTCACAAATAATAAAAAGTGGTTTATGTTTTCTCTTCTGGGTTGGAATTATCTTTCCTCTTCTCTCCCTGGAGGGATGTCAAAGACAAGAGATACAAAGCGAAGAGCCACATGCCAAGGGAGCTGCTGTGGACCAAGGGGCTTGTATGAGCTCTGCCACCAACCAACCCAGTGAGTTGGTGTCTTGCCAGCTCTTTCCTTTAGAGCCACAGTGCCCCAGGACACTGGCTGCACTTGCATCATCACCATTCCAGCATTAGCTACTGCTGGGTGAGATGGCTCCCAAATGAGGGATGTTGTACTCAAAGGGCTGAAAGTCCAGCATAAACACAGCACAGCATTCAGAAGGGAGATGGGTTCACCAGCAAACATATTAGAGAACTACAGGTCTGAACACTGCTGCAATGCACACAGCAAGGGAATGCAGATGAATCCTTCATTTGAGGGCACTGGGAGTTCACCTTTTGACTCCAAAAGGGTTTGTTTTAAACCCTAATGAAGAGAGAGACAGACCACTCTCTTCCCCCACCGGCTCCTCAGGGCTTGCCTACTCACTTGGCAGTGTAGACGCGATCAAAGGCAGAGGATCCTGATCGCTGGAACGCCTTGCTATTGCAGTATTTGCTTTCATGCTCCACTTTGCTCGCAAAAAAAGCTGTTAAAGAACCACAGATAATTCTGAGATGTTATTTCGAGATATTGCAGAAGCTGGTCTTTCTGGCTTCAGCTCTATTCTCAAGAACAACCAGGGTGAATGGCAGGAGAGGACATGGGTGTATGGAGGTGCAGGATGTGGCCAGCATCCTCACTCGGTCACCAAGGTATAATCAAACCATCTGTGCAAGCGCACAGTGCAGCGCGACCTCAGACATCCCCACATGTCTGTATGTGACTGGTAGCAGGGTCTTAACCCTGAGCCCTGCTTCATCCCTGCACTGCACTTCTGGCAGCCTGCACCTCTGCTGCAGTACAGCCCCTGACTCGGCCCTTTGGGCCCCTATGGGAAAAAAGCTTTCCAGCCAGAGCTGCCAACCCCAACTCTCACTCTCTAATGAATCAAAGAGACAAGGGAATTTACTCTTTCAACAATACCCAGGGATGTCCTGCAGCTCTGGCTCATTTTCCAGAAAAGCCCATTGAGAACCTGGTCCTCATGCCTGATCTCTATGTGACCATTCTGTGCGTATCTCCCTTTTAAACAACAGTGTTGTGTCAGGGTGTTAGCTGCTGTAAAACTGCAGCACTTGAAGATAATGTATCATGCGCTTGACTAACACATTTTATCTGATGACACTAAGCCAGAGACCATCCATCATGTGTCTAAATACACCAGAGAGAGAGCCCTGGCAGGCTATCAGCTGCAAGCTTTGTATTGTTGTGCATCCCATCACAGTGTACCCAATGCACTTCATGGTTTAGAATATTAGGCATATATATATATAAAAACATAACATGCCAGGAAAGATTATTATAACAATAGAAGTGTACACTGATATGCTGCAGGATTTCATCCCTGGAATCTGAAGATTTACCTCACTTTTCCCCTTACTGATGCTGTAGGTAGGTATTTTGTGTGTTCATTGCCTTCACTAAAAGCGACTGAGTGCTTTCCAAGATTGAGTGATTCCCTGAGTATGCACAGTCTTTCTCCAGGAAAACTTGCAGTGGTTTAAGCCAGTGTCCCCATGTGAGCCAGGCTGCAGACCCTCTCACTGACACCAGCACAGTGCACTGGCTGGTGCCTGGAGTACCTGGCCCTGGAGGATCCAGAGCAGACACTGTCCAGTGGCACAGCCACTGAGAGCTCTCAGCATCTTCATCCACTCATGACCTAAGCCTTTGGCATGGGGTTATTAACCTGCCTACAGGGCTGAAGCACTACAAAGGGCCAGAGCAGAGCTGACAGATCACATCCAGGGGTGGTCCCTGCTGCAGGGCTGTGCTCCCATCTCAGCAATGTTGGGCTCCTGTTAACCTGGCATTGGGGAAGCAGGAGGCTACAGCGTGAAGCAGCTTGCAACCCCATGATTATGTTTCCTACTCTTTACTCTGAGCCTGAAGACAAGAGGGTGATTTCCCAGGTGAAATGACATGGGTAAACAGAGCAGGGCTGGAACTGAAGAGTTTAATTCAGCTCAACTACGCCAGGAGATGATGCCGTGAAGCTCCAAAGCTGCTCAGGCTGCCCTGAGCCTCAGCCACTGCAGTCCCACTCCAGTGAAGTTAATGTTCAAGAATTCAGTCCAAGCCTGGCTGTTTCACAAGTTCATGCCAATAGAAACCATCCACTGATGCTTCAACCTAGTGAGTGCCCAATCTGCTCAGTGATGACCACTGATTTACCCCAAAAGCTTCTGAATTGCAACATCCCTCTGATGCAAGAACAAAACCGAAGGCTACGTGTGAGAATCAGCAGCATCCAGCCTCACAAGTCATTCTGTAGGATCTGGAGATTCCCAATATGAGTAAGATGACAGTAAATGGACGTCAGACTGGGGCAGCACCACAACCCACATCTAGCTTTCACCCAAACTGTTTTCTGATCTTGCACCAGATGCAGAAAAGCATATAAACCTGAATTTACATGGTGATGACTTCGTGTACTTAAAGACAGTCAAGCAGATGTTCAAGCTCTTTGCTGAACCAAAGCTACAGCAAGAGTTCAGTACAAATGATAACTCTTGACAAGCATGTATGCCACCTTAGTTATTACATTTGCTGCAGGACTTCCTATCAGTCCAGTCTTTCTAGACAGAAAGCCTGGGAAGGGGAAATCAGATGATGCAGGGTCTGAAATCATGGTTCAGAGCTTTGTTCCACTCGTGCTTGGCACACTAAGTCCTCTGCCAAGTGTTGCACTGCCCGCTTGCAGCAGTGGGGTCAATAATCTCACAGGCAGATTTCATTAGATGAAAGTGTGTGGCAGGCTGGAAGTCAAATGCCCATGCTTCAGAGTGAGAGGGGAAAAACATGGTATATAAAGTCCTTTGGTTAAATAGCAAGAAATGTGCATTTGGCACTTACTATGGTATGCGCTCTGATCCCACCATGCTGTATTCAGGCAGTGTCACACACTGTGCATTTACCAGAAACGAGCACTGGGTTAAACCATGTGGTATTTAGTGCCTATGTCGAAACCCAACCAGTCCATATCGCTTTTTTGGTTTTGCTTTCTGGCAGAGAGGCTTATGTAGACGCTCCCACCACTTCCCCTCTCTGCAGCAGCCCAAGAACAGCCCATTTACTAGGATTGAACTATGTTGAGTTTGCACTGGTTGGGAATCTCCCATCCCTACCAAGAAGCCTTCACAGAAGATTGCTTGCATGTGCATCAACCCCTCACCTCACTGCTGGCTCTCCTTGAACCTGGGCCATCTCAGTGTCCCTGGGGTAAAACACACTCCCTTCTCTGTATTCTGAGCAGAATTTCGTGCTAAATTGCTTAAGGACTTGCAAGAGATGATGATAAAATTAAAATGAGAAGAGAAACTTGTTGTTTTATTTAAAAGGTCCTGAAGAATGGTAGGGACTATAGACGTCTGAATAAGAGCTGAAAAAAAGAAACTTCTCCATTACAGGAAATATGCATTGTTCTTGGGACTGCAGTTAATTGAGATTAGTCGGACTGCAGGACCTGGAGATGCAGGAAAACAGTAGAGTTGCCTGCTCACAAATAACCCTAACAGTCCTCGGATGAGCTGGTGCAATTGTGACCCCTTCGTGCAGCTCTGTGTGAAGGTCTGACCCATCACAGCCCACCGGAGCCCAGCCCCTCACCATGGTGGCAAGGCTCTGACTGGTGGGCAGCTCTGCCTGCCCACATTAGGGACTTCAGCCAGGGAAGGAAGTCTCACTCATCAAATTTAAATGTATGTTGTCACAGAGTACACCAGCATGTTAGCCCTTTCACTAGCTGACATCTGTATAACAAACTCACTCCAGAATATCATGGACTAGGACCATGCAACTGCCAAGGTACAGCAACAACAGCATGGAAAATTACATGTTTAGAAAATTGTTTCATTTCTAAAGCCAAAGCCATGTGTAAGCACACACAGTTATAACCAGAGATTGTCTATCCAAATTTCAGGTCAGCATACATCATCCTGAACTCTTCTCACGTCCCCTTTCACCCTTAAGCAAATCCTTATTTTTGTCTTACCATTCTGGACAACACTTATCAAGGTGACAATGGCGAGGAGGACAACGCTTCCCAGGGTTTCCTGGTCCATTTTGCCTGTGGGTGCCAGGGAGGACACTGCAGTCTCTTTGGCAGCCCAGCCCTACAAGCACAGAAGGAGGAAGTGAAGGTCTTTCTTAACTTGAATCATTAACACTTCCTGTGGCTTCACAGGAGAGTGGCAGCACTTCACCCCGCACTCAGGTGCCTGTCAGAGAAGCAGAGCCACAGGCTCACTCACTTGTCATACACAGATGAAGCCCAGAGAAGCAAGAGGTTAGGTGTCTGTGATCTAAGAGGATATATAATGTAGGAATATATCTATATCAATAACTCCTTGGAAGACTATGACAGCTGCCAGCATTCAGCAGGCTCAGGCTTCACAGCTGTACCCCCGTTTTAGTAGTCAACCCCCAATACGGCTGAACATAACTGCTACATAATGTTCATGCCTCAGCTTTGACCCTGTGACAGCAGAGAAGCACAGGCTGCAGTGCTGGACATCTGCAGAAAGTCCCAGAGCTTCTGTCAGATCAGTGGAAAGCATCCTCATCCAAAGTGCACATCACTCACTGCCCCTAACTGCTCTGCTCCCTTTTGCCCATATTCTGATAGGGAAAAGCCTTCAAGAAATTCTTGCCTTTAGTGGGGATTTAACACTAATTCAAGTAGTATTTTCACCAGACTGAGCCCTGGACAATTTCTGCCCCGTCTTTCTGTTTCTACTCCATCACATGGTACCCGGAAGGTCTGAGTTCCACCTAGCATCCAGACCATGACAGTATAACTGGTGACCTCTCTGGATGAGACACATTCCATGGGAGTTCCCAGCAGGAGCCAAGCTGCAAAATCCACCTTGTTCAGCAGGGACACATTTATCTAAAGCTCTTATCCAGTCTCTCTATCAAGCAAATTATTATCATCTGCATTATTAGATATGGAAAACACTGATGTCCTCTGGGCACAAGCAAATACAAAGAAACATGCTGTCTGAGAGGCAGGTGATTAACGTTGTGAGTTCTGACTTACTGTTAACTCAATAAGAAAAAGTTGTCCTTCTGGGAGAACCTTCCATACAGTCCATCCAGACACAGCTGTGTGAGGAGCAAGGCCATAAATGTATCAAGGTTTAGATTTGGCCTGGTTTTAACACTTGGCAAATTTGCTTTAGGAAAAGAAAACACAAACCAACCAACAGAAGAAAAAACCCAAGAACAAAGAGAGAAGCCCAACAGCACTTTGAGAATGTTTTTAGTCTATTTTTCCCACAAAATGGTCTTTTCTTACTTGAGCATCAAAGCTCATGTTTTGAGGTCTACTGAGCACAGGATCATAGCTGGTATTTAAGGATGGTATTTAATGCTAAGCGTCCACTAATCTTCTGAGGAGGAAACTCTGTCACCTAAAAGTGGTTATGGAATTAAATCAAAGGAGGAATATTGTCCAAGCAGAGTCCAGCACTGTGATTGTGAAGAAAGGACCTGTGCATGGACATACGACAGCAGGACTCCCAGTCATCCTCCCACAGCAGGCACTGATCCTTCGCTTTCTTCTAACTGTTTTATAGCCTGCAGCTTGCTTTTGATTTACAAGGGACAGTAAAAGCAGATGAGCCCACTCTGAGATCTGCTCCAACTTGCACATACACACTTCCCTGCTTTCAAAGACTTCCCAAAGGTGGCTTCAGTTCAGCAGGACTCTCATGTTAAAGGGGATAGGAATAAGGCTGCTTAGTGCTAAAAACCCCCATAGGAGGAGTTTATGCCAGCGGATTTCCAAGCTGGCTGACCCAAGCTCCCAGCCCACACCCATGTGTTGGCCAGGTCAAGGGCTGAGCTGCCAATGCCTTCACTTCCTCCTCATCCTGCTCTTTGCTTTCCACCTCTTTGCTGCTGCTCAGCGCCTCTCACCATATCCTCATCCCTGCTTTGCACTCCTGCTCTGCCCCTTGCAATTCTTGCCTGTCCCTGGCACCTCTTGGCACTGCAGGACCTGCTGGCAGCACCACTGGAAACCCAGCTCACTACTTCCTCTTGCCAAAGCTCACTCTAAAGTCATCCCTCACATATGAGAGGAGGGGAACAGGGCTTCACCCTTCTCTCTGCAAAAAGAAACATGACATCAACTCCAGGGCTTGCTAAGCTGATCTGGGAGTGTGTAGGGAGAAGACAGCTTTGCCAGAGAGAATCTGTTTGGTATGGCTGCCTGAAAATAATAACTGCAGGGTTTTGTGTTTTTGTCAGTGTAACATCGTTCCGAGCACTCTGCTTGAGGAAAAGCAGAGGAAATCAAAAAAGTATGAGGGACATGGAAGAAGACGTCCCTTGCCTTTACCACAGCATAGCAATACTTGTTAATAGAGTCCGACAGAGCAGAACCCCCTTGCAGGGGGAACATTGTCATTTCATACTCTCTGGCACTGGAGTAGCTGCAGGATGAAAGGAGGTTCTGGTAATAATTTTGCAAATTGGGGAATTGCCTTGGCAAGGGAGGGCTAAGGTGGGACCAAAATGATTCTGCAAACAGCTTCTGCCACAGCGACACATTAAATTGTTCCCTCCGTTTGATGGCTCTTGTGTCTCCTTCTTTTGCAGGATACACTGGGTCAAGTGAAGTTGGCAGCACTGGAAAACCCTGTCCACCTGGGAAAAAGATCAGTGCAAGACACCTCCATCATATCCCTATTCAAAACAGGGGATTTTCTCAAGTAGGCAAAAAAAAAAAGGGTGAGGGACAGACGTGCCTGCACTTGCTGTAACACCCAGTGTGGTCCGTGTTCTCCAGGCACAGGTACTTCAGCAGCTGCTGTCAGACCCCAGCCCTTCTGCTCACTGCATTGCTGTGTGACACCCACATCTTCCTGTCTGAGGGAGATAACCTTGCCACAGTGAGCCGTGAAGCTCATGAAAATGTGCAAAGCCAGCGAGCTTTTCCAGTTGAGCTGCGAGGCTTCCCGCACACTGAATCCCCTCCTCTGGAAATCTTGAGCAGCCAGTCAAAATAATCCTTCTGTAGGTTGCTTTCACACTGAAGGGGAAGGGACTGGGAACACAGATCTGTAAATAAGTGTTGGGATGCTCATCTCTCCTCTCATGCACTCTGCTCGGCACTCGGCTGCAAGGACTCCAGTGAAAGGGCATCTCCTAATAAAATAAAAGCTGCTTCTGTCACATCAGTCTGCTTCAGCATCCCTTCCAAGGCCTGACAAAACCCTAAGGAGAGCATGAACAGAGATGGAAATGTGAAGTGCAACACAAAGAAAAGGGCAGTGCTGCAGTGGTTTAAACGCTGTCTTCATTTTGCATGGCCAGGAGAATAACACTGTGGGAGCAGTCACAGTGCTGCCCGGGAAATCCCTCCTTCTCCACATTGCCCAGACTTCTTTGACTTCTTCCTTGCTATGTAGGGGACAACATCCTACATTTGTACAAATTCAGCTCAAAACGCAGTGCTTGAAGGCAGAGCCCAAAGTCCCTCAGGGCCCCGGCACAGCCTCCTCCTCATCCTTTGTGTGTCACCCACCACCCTACTCAATAAAGTTTGCCCTTACTGCTGACATCCCTGTGGCTGCGCTTCACCCTTGGGTTCATTTCTGCAGCCCCATGTAACAGAGTTTGTGTGTTTGCCTTCCCCAGAGTGGTTATTTGGGTTTATCTTCATTATAATTCAGTGGGGTGACCCTGGAGAGCTGCTGCAATGGAACAAGACCAATATGAATCTGAGCCCCCCCATCAGGACGCTGGAAAACAACACGGGCACATTTGGTGTTTCTCTGCCATTGGGAGATTGAAGAATTGAGCAGGGCCAAGACAGACCTTACTGAAGCTTTTTCAGCAATACCACCCCTCTCCTCCCCCCCAGTTTCCCAGGAAGTTATTGATGAGTATGGTTTGTGCAGTGTCCAGCGAGTGGCAAAGCCACCTCGTGGGGATTTCCTCTCTGTCATCCTTCCCTCCCTCGCTCCCAAGCAGCAGGTTCTCAGCAGCCACTGTGATACCATGAGGTGTCACCGTGGTGACAGCCACCAGACAGCCCAGGGAACAACCACCCTGTCACGGGTGGAGAACCACAGTCACAGGAGAGCTAAGGCTGGAAACGACCTCTGGATGTCATCTAGTCCAACCCCGCTGCTCAAGCAGAGCCACCTACAGCAAGCTGCACAGGTATTGATACACATTGATAAGGTCTCCCTGAGCCTTCTCCAGGCTGAAAAGTCCCAGCTCTCTCAGCCTTCTTTCACAGGAGATGCTCCAGTCCCTGCATCATCTCCACAGCCCTTCGCTAGAGCATTACCAGTAGTCTGTGTCTCTTCAGTACTGGAGAACCCAGAACCGGCCTCATCAGTGCTGAACAGGGGGGAAGGATCCCCTCCCCAGCCTGCTGGCAGTGCTTAGTGCAATGCAGCCCAGGACACCATTCGCTGCATTTGCCACAAAGGCCCATTGTTGGCTCATGTTCAACTTTCTGCCAAGCTGCTTTCCAGCTGAGAGCACCCAGCATGTACTGGTGCATGGGGTTTGTCCCCAGCTGCAGGACCTTGCACGTCTTGTTGAACTTCATGAGGAACCTGTCAGCCCATTTCTCCAATCCATCAAGGTCTCTCTGGGTGGCAGCATGACTCTTTGGTGTATCAGCCACTCCTCTGAGTTTGGTGCTGTCTGCAAACTTGCTGAGGATACACTCTTGCCCCATCATCCACATCATTAATGGAGATGTTGAGCAGCTTTGATCCCTGGCTACACCACTAGTTTACTGGTCTCCAACTACATCTAGGCACTGATGACCACCCTCTGGGCCCAACTGTTCAGTCAGTCTTCAATCCACCTCACCATCATCTTATCCAACCTCTACATACACACCTTCTCTGTGAGGATCTTACAAGAGACAGTGTCAAATGCCTTACTGAAGTCCAGGTAGACAATATCCACTGCCATCTTATCAGCTACCTGGCCAACCACTTCATCATGGAAGTTTATCAAGTTGGTAGAGCACAGCTTGCCTTGGTGAGGTCATGTTGACTACTGATCATTTCTTTGTCTCTGATGTGCCTGAAGACTGTTTCCAGGATTAGCTGATCCATCACCTTCCCAGGCATCAAAGTGAAGCTGACCAGCCTGAAGCTTCCT